TCAAGGCCAAGCATATTTCATATACAACCCGAAAATAGATCCATATTATTGAACACCAATAAAAATGACATAATCCGGGAAAAAATAGAAATCTATTGCACCCTGTCACTCCAGCCAGTCTAAATTTGACAGTATGATGAAAGAAAGAAAACTAAAGCGGTTGTTTCAATTAATTTGCACAGGGGTGTTTATTAACGAAAGGGTCAACTGCGACATAAATTATCAAACAATGTTTGCCTAAATTTTTGAAGAGTGGAAACTGACTCAACTTTAATCTCTAAGCAAGAACAACATATACGCAAAAAGATAAACTAATCAGCTTTATCCGCTGCTTAAACCGTAATTATCACATCAGAATATTAGTTTCCTTGGATTATTCTTCCATTAAGGGGGCTAAAGGTCATAAGATCCCATTTGCTTGACACACCTGGAGAACAAGCCAGGTATTTCTATATCTACGTCCCTGTTGGCCCCATTAAAGGACTCATCAGATCGTTGTCAAGTCTTTTTTTTACCGCTAAGCGTCTAGCCAGCCTCCCTATCAGAAGAAAACTTGTGGGGAAACAGTATCGTCGACGATGACCTGCTGTAAAAGCTGTATGTAGTAATCTATTTTTTATGATACCAGTAAAATCTATGAGTTTGATGTTCGTTTAAAAAAAAGGTAATCATTTGCTTTAAGCAATGTAATAAAGTCACGAAAACGCAGAAGTGGCTGAATGAGTCAATATTAGAAAAAAGAAAATCTTATTGTGGAAAGAGAACAATAAAAGAAGAGGAATTAAAAAGACAGAAGATAATGATTGACATTGCATTTAATCATTTCATCCCAAGCAAGGCAATAAATCTACCAAGACGCAAGGAGTTACTGACTGTGAAAGAATATGAGAAAAAGAAAAAGACTATTAAGGAGAGAGAACAATAAAAGAAGAGGAATTAAGAAGACAGAATATAACGATTGACATTGCATTTAATCATTTCGTCCTAAGTAAGGCAATAAATCTACTAAGACGCAAGGAGTTACTGATTGTGAAAGAATATGAGAAAAAGAAAAACACTATTAAGGAGAGAGAACAATTAAAGAAGAGGAATTAAGAAGACAGAAGATAACGATTGACATTGCATTTAATCATGGAGAAAAGTAAGGCAATAAATCTACTAAGACGCAAGGAGTTACTGATTGTGAAAGAATATGAGAAAAAGAAAAACACTATTAAAGAGAGAGAACAATTAAAGAAGAGAAATTAAGAAGACAGAAGATAACGATTGGCATTGCATTAGATTTCTGGAGATGAAAGTTCACTGGAAAACCAGAAACCGTGAAAGAGTTGAATAAGTGATAACCGTGAGAAAAGTAACTCTTAGCATAGAACGGACGGTAAAATCTAGACTCTTCGACGGTAAAATCTAGACTCTTCGACGGTAAAATCTAGACTCTTCGACGGTAAAATCTAGACTCTTCGATGGTAAAATGATGAGACTTAACTGCTAATCTAGTACTGCCCTTAAATTTGTAAAGGCAATATTCTAAAGGGGAAAGCTAATCAGAACTGTAGTCATAAAAATATATACAGAAAAAGCACATTGACTGAAGCCGAAATGTCTGGTCAGCACTAATAACATTACAGATTCTTCTTTGCACTAAAGTTGATAAAAAAACAAAGCTTTATACTCAAAATATTTATTTTATTATTAAGAGGATTGACCAATGTATGTTTTGACTCTTTTATTATGTTTTTTCATCCTTTCTATCATGTTCAAAAATTTGGTTAAAAATATCGTTTTTCATGTGTCACTAGGTTGAGTGGGTGATGTCAATGATGGCTAAAGGAAATTCTATCTTCTTGCGGTTAAAAAAATATAAAACATTGTTTTGGAAATTCTGGCAAAACTGTTGAATTTTAAAACAATTTTCAGGGCTTCTTCACAAATGTATGAATTTTTTCTTAACTTTTGCTTTTTTTAGAACTTCTTGATAAAACATTTTTTTACACCTGTTATCTCCACTGAAACTTCTAGAAATAAAAATTTCGCCCTCTTCATTTTTATGTTCGTTATAAGCAGAACTTCTAAGACAATGTAAATAAATTTTTTTTTTTTGTTAAACGGAAACACAATTTGCCGAAAATCTTTTCTGCATCGTAAAATAAAAAATGAAATGAAACTAAGATATTATCCAATTTGAAAAGTTCTTATAAATAAAACACATTGAGGAGACTATTGTCTTAAGAAAGAAAATCGATAAATAATTAATTTTCACAAGAATTGTTTTCATTTTCTGTAATTATAACAATTTATTAAATTTTGAATGTTTTAATATTCTGTATTAATTTCACTATTTTAGATGATATTATTAAGTAAAGAAAACTATGCTTACTGTTACACCGGCCTCTAACACAAGGGAATTACACCGGTTCTCACTATATATAGTGCCAGTAATACCTACCCGGGGTAAGCAGCGACAGTACTACAATTGCCTAGCTGAGTAGTACCCGTTTCCTACCTTTGTATTTGTGATGTTAAATACACTTGTTCTTTAAACCAACTTCGACTTGATTTTCTTATTTTTACTATTGTACCACGACACAACACTTACTTAAGTTTATATATATATATATATATATATATATATATATATATATATATATATATATATATGTATGTATGTATGTATATATGTATGTATTCAGTTGTATCGATATTAGTTTGAGACCCTTTTGCGATCATTAGACAAACTCATTAGACATATGTTTCTCTGATGATCGCAAATGCGTGAAACTCAGGTTCATAAACTAATATACATTCAACTGACTATGTTAGCTCTATCACTGATATTGAGCACTTTCCACTAATATATATATATATATATATATATATATATATATATATATATATATATATATATATCGTTAAATATAACAGACAATGAATGTCTATTATGTCTGATAAAACGCCGTTCTAAAGTTCCTATGTTTGCTTTAATTTCGGGTGAAATTAAAAAATGTCCAACATTTGCATATTTTTTTATTATTAAATTGATGTTTTATTTAAGCTTTAGGCTCACATGAGCTTTTATGGTTATACAGATATTTAAACCAAGATATTCACCATCAAAGATAATATTCGGTTATGTTGACATAGAAGTTTACTATGCGAAGATAAAGGTCGCAGAATGGAAGACGCAGGTCGTAAGTTCATGATGCAGATCTATGACGTCGTACGACGCGAGAGACCGAAATATTACCAACAGAACCATTTGTCTAGATGCAATGTAATGTGTTTGAAATATAATTTTGTTGAGTCTGAGTTGCTTTGTTTTAATATATATAAAAGAAGGAAATTGAAGTCAATGAAGTGACAATGTTTTTCATGCTAAACGCAATTGTCAGGCCATAACGATGGGTGAGGTTAGCATGAACCAGACTCTCGCCTCTGGGTGTTAACTTCAATGTCCACTTTTATATTTATATACGGTATATCAGGGATAATAAGCAGTTCAACACATTTTTCAAATGATTCAACGTTTCCAATGTCTCGCCGGATATTCTCGCATCACTCGCAATCACACCTCAAGGAAATGAAATATCTGAATTTTCTAAATAGTTTGCCTTTCAAAGAGGAAATATTTCGCGCTTAAAAGTTCCTTGGAACTTATTCTTAAATCTTCGATCAATATATATATATATATATATATATATATATGTAAGAAGTACACGGTGTCTGTGTGTGTGCGCATTTCGTTCATGAAAACGACTTTTTTGTCCCTAGATTCAATTCGGCGCCAGTGTCGTCAGAGGGGAAGACGACAACAACTAATCATTTTGTGTTGATACCAGGTAGATTACACGCAAGCGATTGTGTGTGTGTTTTAGAGCACAAAGAGCAGGAAACGGTGTAACATGGATGGCAACGAGAACGTGATCAAATGAGAATGAAATAATATGCAAGAATTTGCTCGAGGGCTTCACGGAAACACCACAGGCTACAGAAACACACACACAGAGACACACGAATATATATATATATATATATATATATATATATATATATATATATATATACATATACATAAATATGCGATCACACGCACACACAGGAACCCACAAACATATATAGACATATATGTATATGTAGACATATATATATATATATATATATATATATATATATATATATATATATATATATATGTGTGTGTGTGTATATATATATATATATTTAAAAACGTGCAATCAACACACATATATATATATATATATATATATATATATATATATATATATATATATATATATGAATGAAAGAGAGCATCTGCATCATTATAGATTTGAACTGAAATGCAATAGATATGAAGAAACGTACATTTATCCATAATGATTTATCAATAGACAGATATACATATATACAAATAAAAACATATACACATGCACAGACACACACACATATATATATATATATATATATATGTATAATATATACATGCTTCATACATTTAGGATATGTCATTCATCTGCATTTCAAGAACCAGATCTTTGTAAAAATCGTTTATATAGATATATAAATTTATAAATGTGAACACGATATATATTACGTTTGTGAATGAGTTTGTGTGTGTAAGACCCTTTGATGCGTTGCTACGTGTGTCTGTGTGTTTCTTCTCTATGTTTGCAGACACACGGTTCTGTATGTGAGTTTGAGCGGTAGAGTTCTCTAATTGATTCCAATGTCATAACAGAATTATTCAAATTAATCACAGTTCATTAATCTATCTATCTATCTATCTATTTTTAGATAGATAGAAAGAAGAAAGACAGAGAGATAGATATGGTGTAACTGAGATAGATATGATGTAACTAATATATATATATATATATATATATATATATATATATATATAGAGAGAGAGAGAGAGATAGATAGATAGATAGATAGATAGATAGATAGATAGTGAAGGGGGTTGGTAGATATGGTGTAATTGGGATAGATAGAAACCTCGTAACTGAGATAGCGAGATAGATACGATGTAACTGAGAAAGATAAATAGATAGATAGCTATGAATAGCCTGTGATAGATAGATAGATAGATAGATACGACGTAACCGATATAGATATAAAATAGATAGATAGAATCAAACTGAGATACACCATTAATTTTACCGTTAGTTATTTTGCAGACACATACATGGATACATTTACCGACACACAAAATGTTTCATCCCCAGGCTGTTAAACGCGCATACACACACACGCGTGCGCACACACGCGCGCACACACACACACACACACATATATATATATATATATATATATATATATATATATATATATATATATATACCATTATATAGTTATTTTTAAGTCGTATCTGATAGGAGACAAGAAATTATACAGTATCTAGTGAGGATAGAGGAAGCTTGATTTTCAGTCGTAACTTGATATATATATATAGATATATTTATTAATATATATTATATATATACGTCTAGGTGCCCTATATATGACAATGTTGATAACAATTAGAAAAATATTATTGGAAAATATACATTAAAAATATATCTAAATATATACATGTATATTTTATATATATATATATATATATATATATATAAGATATATATATATATATATATATATATATATATATATATATAAAACACATTTCCCAACAATTGTTCGATCTCTTAAACTGCTTAATGTGGAAGGAATGAGTACTGGGTCAAATCTTATGTTTAATTATAAAGAGGAACATAGATTTCATTATTTCATTAAATTAAATAAGTGTGGGTAACAGATGTAAAAAAAAATAATATTTTAGCAACATTTTTTATAACTGAATCATTTCTAAAATAATCTAATTCATTTGTGAAAAAGCCCTGAAAATTTAGTTAAAATAGAAATTTTCCAAGCGTAGCTGAGATGTTGCACAAGGCCGAAAATATGGGGCGTCCAGTAAGGATCGAACTCACTACTCAGTCATAATAGTTCTATCAAGACACGTTTGGTAACCATTACACCACCTCAAGATGTCCAAACTTTGTTAGAATATGATTGTTATTTGATTTTTGCAAGAATTTCTAAATCAATGGATTTCTCTTCGCAAAAGAATGTTAAAATTTCCTATAATTTTTGATCACTTGTTGACGCAAGACAAAATAATTTTTATTCAAAATTTTGAAGTATCTAAAAGGATTGAAAAAAAAATGTATATAAGTTAACAATCAAGAAACCGTTTGATCTTTTCTTCTTCATAACAACGTAAAGATTTTAACGATAAAACTGTTTTTATTATGCTTGAGGTATTTTTTCATTATGTTTGGTAATTTTTTAGCTAATATTTGGAAGTAACTACTTAAGTGACTATCGTGAATTATATCTCTTTCGAATCTGATATGTCTCTTTGATCTCTGTGATCGTTAGATCACTCTGGGTTAATCGTTATCTAATGATGAATCTACGAAGAAAAAGTTAAATTACGGCGTATTAAAATGTAAAAATAAATAATTCGAATTATATTGCTTTACTTTACATATACACAATATATTTTTCATTTATTCAAATATTTTCCTATAAACAATTTTTATTGATAGTTCGCAGATATTTATTTTAATAACGCATATTTATTTTTTTTATCTTTAACTCTTAAATAAAAAAATAAAAAATCAATTCAAATTATTCATTGCGTTTGTAACCAGCTAGGTTGGCATGGAAGATAATGTACACAAAATGTTTGATTATATATAAATGATGTGTCATGCAAATTTACACAAAAACAGGCAAATAGATAGACATATAGATATTCGAAGCATGGCTTAGATGTAGCATAAGGCCGAAAGTGCAGGGTACTCAATAAGGATCAAACTCAATACTCAGTCGTAACTGACACGCTTTCTAACCATTACACCACGTCGGGGTGTTTAGACAGGCATATCGATATATAGGGATAGGTTGAGATAGATAGACCATTATTATTATTGCATTTCCTTTGATTTCAGGTGTGTACTTATTTCTTTCCGGGTCCCGACCAGAGACCTAAGGTCAGAAATGGCATTATGGCATTTTCCATGGTGCAGTTCTGACCCCCCAAAAAAAAAAAAAAAAAAAAAAAAATAAAATAAAACAACATATCTTACAAAGATAAAGCCCTTTATTAAGGTGTGAACTTTATTTGTGAGTATTGTATTTTTAAATTTCTTTAAGGGATGATCCACCAGAGCCACAACGAACGAACTTTGTCTATGAGTTCAAATGCATATGGACAGTTTCTACACACTCTGCGTCCAGGAAAGAGAACACTTGTTCGGATATAAAAAAAAATTAAATAAAAAGCTTAATTAGTTATTACGTGATGATGTGTCGTCTTTTAAAAAAAACACACACATCTATATATATATATATATATATATATATATATATATATATATATATATATATATATATATATATATATATATATATATATATATATATAGTCTCATTTTGTCGAGATTAGTTTTATATGAGGGTCAAAAAGATCAGTTTCCAGGAAACCGACAGCCCGACACCGAGATTTGATTATAGTGGTGAAGGACCCCAAAAAAACTGCCTAAAAACTTATAAATTCAGGCCGGTAAATGTTATTTAATACTGTTTATTATAAACAGAGCATTTACTTATATACTTGTATCTATAAAAAAAGAACGTTAAACATAAAAAATGTCTTTAATAAATAAATTGTCGGACTTTGTCCATTTCTTAATATATGACGTCATTTGTTTACATTTGATATGCCATGAGCAGTTATGAATGTACGAGATTCATGGAAGATTGAAGTTTATAAGCAGTAAATTCGATCTTACCAACCGAACGATCCTTTGTGGCCGAGCAGTCAAGGCACGTCAGCGTAAATGACGGTTCCGTATAGGATGCAGGTTCCAATCCTGTCAAAGGACGAATATTTTCTATCAAAATCTCTCGGACATTCAGGCCGGTAAATGTTATTTAATACTGTTTATTATAAACAGAGCATTTACTTAAATACTTGTATCTATAAAAAGAACGTTAAACATAAAAAATGTCTTTTATATATAGGTAAAATCAGTGGGTAAGTAATGCAAGTGAATCCAATAAATATAAAATATTAAAACTAATTTTTTGTTTGTTTCACTGTTTTCCTCTCTCTCTCTTTTTCTTCTTTTTTTCTATCCTCTTTTTTTTAAATTTTATTTGAAAAAAACAAAATGTACGAAAAATTTTTTATCAAACGTTTTACTATTGACAAGATAGAATATTTTTCCATTTATGTGCTGGTCAAACGATTTCTGCCTCCGAGATAGAGAGGATCCCCAAACGAGTAATGCCGAAGGGCAGAATCTCGTTAAAAAACAGCTATGACCCCGTTTTCACGGGTTCTAAGGAATTTTATTTCAGCTTACGAGCTGGAAACCCAAATTAAATTCGGCCCTGTGAAATTTAAATCTGATCGCATGGGATTTTTAATATTGACAAGCTCCAGAAAGAAAAACAAGACCACATTTTAAGGTTCCATTATAATAATTTATTTCACCAGAGCCGTTTTAAATGACGCTGGATCATAAGATATATCCAAAAGATGAAAAAAAAAAATGAAATGAAAACATATTTTGATGGGTAGTATTAAGTTTTTGTAATTTAACAGAAATTGTAATGAAGAGTGGTGAGAGACATGGTCGAGTTTAGAGAGGGTTTATTTTAATATTTCTCTCAATCATACTTAGTATTGGGGAGGAGGAACCAGAGTATTTGACCTATTTAAACGGTTAACTTAACGGAAGTGATATATTGAAATGGAGGAGGAAGAAGAGAGAAAAAAAAAATTAAAAAAAAAAAAGTAAAAGAAAGAAGGGGACAAAAAGAAAAGAGACTGTAAATAGGTTTTACGGAGGAAGAAGAGGGGTGGTATATTTTTTGCAATGTATGTAAAAAAAATAGTTTTTAATGTTTGACAGTAATTTAAATGTTTAAAAAAATCCACGAAGAAATTAATTAGGGGTTACTAGCAATTTAAATATTTAACTCTTTTACAAATATTTTAGGGATTTAAGTTAAATACTGTATTTATTAATACATTCATAGAGAACACATTGATTTTTTTAAAAATATAACAGTTTACGGATGGTAATCTGTTTATTAAAAAAAAAAAAGACTGTTAATGTAACATCTTTTATCAATTTGAATCTAATTCATGAATGTAATTGATAACTATTTTTAGATGGATAATAAAGACGGATAATATTTTAAAATTACTATTAAAGATTGTATTTTTCTTATATATATATATATATATATATATATATATATATATATATATATATATATATATATATATATACACTTATGCAAATTTTATATATACATACGTTCATTTACATGTGCAATTACACACGTAGGCACACACAAATGTATTGATATATAAATACCTATAAATATTCATATATAAATCTTACGCATACATTTAAAATTTTTACACATATTTATATCTATTTAAATTTTTAAAAATTTCACAGTTAATGTTTAACGTTAAGGTGATGACTTTTTTTTTAAATATCAAAACAAATATTTCTAATTTTAATATTTTACTATCAATATTGACAGTTAAAGAGTGATATATTTAAATTTAAATTAAATTATCAACTTAAGATGAGATTACCTCCAGATGAAAAAAAAATAATCTCACAATTTTAATTAGAGAATATTAAAAGAGAAAGTAAGAAGGATTAAACATTAATAAAACTAAGATTAAAACTTTAGTAAAATAACTTTATGTCCTTCCATTAGAATACACATATTGAATATATATATATATATAAAACAGATCTATACCCATAAACACTCATACATTTATATGTATTTATATTACTATATTTTGCATATATTCACACATATTACAAATACGAACTCACAAATATTTACATCTATATATATATACACATATACACATACAGACCACATGCAATCTTAAACATCACACTATATATATATATATATATATATATATATATATATATATATATATATATACAAAAATACCTCAAAACACACGAACGAACCTACACACATATATACATATCTATCTATACATACATAAACATATATGTATATATACACCACCATACAAAT